AGGCTTCAAAGGGCAGCTCTTCCTATGCCCGGGAACAGTGTGGGGGCCAGAGGAGCCACCCTTGGGCTTGGAGGCTTGAGTTAATGACACACAACAGCCTGGCTGCAGTTACAGGCTGCTCTGCCAAGGTTGTACAGCTGGTTGCCTGTGTGTTGGAAGATGCTGATGTCCCCTGCCATACCCTGGTTTGCCAGGGAGAGCAGTTTCAGTGGGTTTTGAAGAGAGCCCAATTTATCTTTTCTCTGAGGCCCCCTTGTTCCTCTGTTTCTGGCAGGTCTTGCTCAGCTCAGGTTGTGGTTATGTAACTGCTGTATACCAAGCCATCTGTCTTCCCAAGGGCAGGGCTGATTTATAAGGGAGGCTATAGACAGTGGTTGGCACTGTTATAGTTTAGATCAGACTTCCAATTTGAACCTCCAGAATATTCTGTACTGTGCTCACTTCCTTGCATGGGGCAAGCATTTTATGTATTTTATTCTTTCATTTTCTTTGCCTGGAGTGTTTATCATTGAGTTGTATAATACCATGGCCATTTCTGTAGCTCTCTTAATCTCAACAGATTTTTTTTTTGCCTTCTATTCAGCTTCTTTCTCTGTAGCTGCCAGAAACTCTTCAAATATATGCTCTTATTAAATATTTAAACATGTATTTCCCATGATGGAACATATTCTGTACTCCGAGCAGTGCAAGCAGATGAATCTCCTCTACCAGCAGGGAGATGGGTTTATGGGAGGCTTCTGAAGTGCCTGCATATAATCAGATAGGAAATAGAGATACAGAAGGCTTTATGTTATTTGAAGCTTGGACTGGCAGTTTTTCCTAGAAGACTCTTGGTATATGCAGCAGCATTTCAGGATTGTGAAATTCCAAGTCAGCCCCACAGAATTAAAACCAATGCATAATGCAAGCTGATTTAAAGGAAAATGTATATCTCTTGAAAGAATATGATAATATTTGAAGTCTTGTAGCCAAGGCACAAATTTTTTCATTCTGTTAACAGGCCTCTGCTGGTAAACTTTGCAGATGAAAACACCTCTGCATTTGTGAAGAACAGACCCCTCATAAGTGTTGGCTGGGCACCTGCCATGTGGTCAGCCTGGGCATAGAGAGGAGCTGGTTTCAGAGGTAACATAAGGAGTGGCATCTGCAAATTTCATGGAACATCGAGGGCTTAATCCAAGCCTATGACGGCATCATGACTTTTTCTCTGAATGGCTCTTTCTCTGTCCACAACTTCCAGGATAAATGAGCTATATTTAAAAAAGAAATTACAGCAGTGAAGGTATATCAATTAGGAGGCTAGAGAGAAAGATAAAAAACAGGACACACACAAACACAGGTGTGTCTGTTACCAAGTGTTGTTCATGTGATTATGGGGGCTGAGAAGTCCCATGACTGCTATCTATGTGCTGGAGACTCAAGAAAGCTGGCTGTTCAGTTGGGAAGCCAGAGAACAGAGTGTCGGTGGTGTCAGTTCTAGTCTGAGTCTCAAAGGCTGGAAACTGGAAGTCCACAGTCATGAGAAACCAATGCCCCGTCTCAGTAGTCAGACAAACAGTAAATTAAGCTTCCTTCAAGTTTTTGTTCTATTTAAGCCTCTTACCAACTGAAAGATGCATAGCCACATTGGGGAGGGCCGTCTATCTTGCTCAGTTCACCAACAAAAATGCTCATTTCTTCAGTACCTTGCATTTGCCAGGCAGGCCCTGTGCTGCTGAGCTATATCCTTGGCCCACTCATAGACATTTTTTAGAAATAACATATGCTCTGCTAACTTGGCATCTCATGGCCCGGTCAAGTTCACATATAAAATGAACCAGGATGTAAAAGAAGACAGATGCTTTGGTGTCCAATAAGTAAGAGCTACTGGGAAAATGTCAGATAGTGTGTAAAAGAAAAAGTAAGAAATTAAATGTACATGAACTCACTTAATCTATCTTATCTGCATCATTCATTTATACCAGCTAATAGGAAATCAAAAGAAGTGTCTTTATAGCCTTCCTGCTCCTGAGTCCTTCTTCTTTCTCATTAAAGTTGACCCTTCCTCTTAGCCTGAGCATCACAGGGGGCTTTAGTCAGGGGCTGGCCATTTGTCCTCCAGCCACAGCTCTAAACCTTGACTTGAGCTTCACAATATGGTAAGCAGACACTTGCTTTGAATGTTGCATCTGACTTGCTCTGGAATCTGCCTCTTCGTTGCTCCTGCCTGCCCCTGGACAGTCTTTGCCTTACTCCTTAACTTCACAAACAGATACCTGGTACTTACTGCTAAAATTTCCACAAGTTGTTTTTCAGCCTACCGTTTGCTTCCTTTCACCTGTCTCTGCACTTTCATCTTACCTCTCCTTCCCTATGATTATTTCCCATTGTTGAGTTTTCATCCCTGGGTCATTTAGTCATTCACCTCTAACACACACACACACACACACACACACACACCTCAAAGTTTTTCTTTGTAGGATGTGGAAAAACTTAACTTTGACCTATTTCCATTCTGCTGCTATTTCATATCTATTGTTTTTCAAGATCTTCTCTATCAAACCATTAAGTTCCAATGAAAATTCCAAGGTAATATTGTTTAGAATTCAAATGTCTTCTATCTCACTGCTTGACTTACTCCTTACATTTTGTGGTATTCAGTTGCTTCATTCTGGAACCTAGAAATCTCCCTTCCTACATCAGAACCACTAGCCTGGAGTGGTTTCTTCTTCTGAAGCAGCATCCCTTGCTCCAAACCTCTTGCTCTTGTGTGCAATCATCAACATCCAAACTCTGAGAATCTTATGTACCCCAAACCTGTGTGGACCAGCTTCCGATGACATCAAGCTTGCAAATCTTCAAGCCTGATTCTAGGTGAATGATTTAATCACTTAGCATCTTTTGAAAAGACCAGAGTTATTTTTATGCACAACATATGTTAAAACAAATTTAATCTCACACATGGCTATATAAAAACAAGTAACTTTCCTTACTGATTACAGCCTACTTGAAGAGACAAGACTTGCACACATATATCAGTTCTGAGAAAATATAAAGGACCTGTCAATAAGAAACCAAGCAGAATAGAAAGTCTCAGAACAGAGGCAGAAGGACAGCAGTGAAGAGCCAGAAGAAGGAAGATTTGCTGAAGTTATCGGAAGCTGTGTGGCACAGGCTGGCTATGGTGTATGAGACTAGTTTCAAAGTCCCTCAGTCTTCACTGGACCGTGAAAGATGACCCGTGAGGACAAAACGATTTAATCAGAGAACAAGAGAAAGGAGTTGATGAAAGAAAAAGAAAATCAAATAGAAGCAAAAATCAGGCATGTTTTATTACGAGACTGGCTGACAAACAGAACAGGAATGGAGGAAATGAGTTTGTAAAACTTAGGTGAGTTCCAGTTATGGAAGGTCTTAAAACCAGACATCGGGCATTGAACTTCTACAGCTAGGGGAATAAGCATTATTGAGCTGAAATGTTTAAGAAAAGCCGAGTCTAGATGACCTGAATTCAGATGTTAGACATAGCTGGCAGGTTGTCTTAGTTATAAGATTGTGAGGCAGAGATATTTTTCTCCAAGCGATTTTTCTTTAATAAAATATTTGAAAATATTTTCTTCCTATAATTCCTCTTGATTGATATTAAACTTAGGATACAGATACGATTAGGGTAGCTTTTTTTTTGGAAAAGGTAACAATAAATTTGTTTATGTAAGTATGAGGTATGATTGAAAAATATGATGAATGTTAAATTTCATAAAATTTATTGCAAGCAGGGTGTGGTGGTGCACCCCTGTAATCCCAGCACTTAGCAGGCTGAGGCAGGAGATCACTGTGAGTTCGAGATCAACTTGGGCTACAAGTGAACTCAAGGCCAGCCTGAACTGCATAGAGAGACCTTGTCTCAAAAATGACTAAATAAATACATAAATACATAAAATTTATTGAAATAAAAGACACATTGCCACTAATACCTTCCTTGCTGCTTTGAGCCGACTTATAAATCTTTCACCTTCCAGAAGTTTGGGAAGTTCTTTCTTGTGATTATCTTTAGTTGTGGTGTGACGGTGGCCTCATGTCTTGAATGGATCATAACGTTTACCTTTCATAGTCATTTTGACTTTAGGAAAGAAATACAAGTCCCCCTGTGCCAGAGCCACTGAACATGGTGGATAAGGACACATGGGAATGCTTCTACGACCCTCCCTTTCCATTGGATGGCACTTGGCAGCAGCATTCACTTGGCAGGATTTCTAACCACGCCTCATGAAGACAGGAGAGAGGACTTCCAGGACTGCTTCAGAAGAGGCAAGGGTAGATCTGTGCTTGAAGCAGGCAGAGTGTTTTGGTGGTTTAATAATAATGTGTCTTTCACTGTAAAAAGTTTTCTAAAAATTTAGGAGCCGGGGATTTAGTTCAGTGGTGTAAGTGCCTGCCTGGCAAGTGTGAGATAGTGTGTTTGATCCTCAGTACAAAAAAAGAAAGAGAGAGAGAGAGATAGAGAGAGAGAGAGAGAAAGAAGCTTTTGAAAAATTTAAACATTCAGCAAATATTTCAGTCATACCTTATGCAAACTAATCATTTTTTAACTTCACTGTCTGCCATTTTATAAGTGTTCCAGAGACAGGAAGAGCTGGTTAGAGTGGTGATTGGTTGTAGTTACCAGATAGCTGAATAGCATCTCACTAGAACCTTACTTCACCTTGTTTCCTTTCCCTATATCTCCCTTCTAGCATGGGCCGTAAAGTAGACTGACTTCATAAAATGCTAAAAGAAGTCAGATGAGGTTACAGGATGACTTAAGAAGAACCATCGTCAAGAAAATTCAATTCTTCAGAGTATGTAGGAAGATATAAATGTTAATAAATATTCATTTTTATAATGATATCATTTTACTGGTATTTTATATTCATATTATTATGCTGGAAGCTGGTATTTCTTTTTAAATAGAAGGGAAACTTTATTCTTGACAGTTTTCAGGACAGTGTTGTAGCCCACTGCCTTAAATAAGTACGGGCTTCTTATATTATGACTTTTGTCCACAATAACATCGTAGATATTTTCAAGAACCTTTCATCAATCAAATTGTAAGGGTCAGTAACTGATCAGACATAAGAATGAAAAGTAAGAATGTGCAAAACACAACATATCTTGAATTATGGGGAGAATGGAGGTTTCTATGAAAATTAGTGAGATTGGAGATAGAAAAACGTATTATGAATAATGAATCTGTTTTAGGTTACAGAGTCTGCAAAGATGCCCCAAAGCCCAAGCAGAAGTGTTCAGGAGGCTGCTTAGAACCACAAGGTGGTGTTTTGGTTTCTTTTCTTATTACTAGGACAAAATATCTGGCATCCAAAATCAAAGAGGGAAGGTTTATTTAGCTCACAGTTTGTAGAGGTTGAAACCTCTGAAGTTCATGGTTGGCTGGCTCCAAGGCAGGTGGCACGGCAAGGGGCACCGCGAGGAGAAGCCATTCGCAGCAGGCAGAAGGTAGCAAGGTAAGCAACACGGCTCAAGTGACATGGCAGCCTCCTCCTGCCCCTTGTATGCCCTATTTAGGTTACTCAGTTTAGGGTGGGTACCACACCAATCAGTGCACTAATTTAATAATCATACCCTTAATCCCAGGATCACACACTCTAGATACAGACACCTCCGAGAAAGCCCCACCTATGACTGCATGAGGCTTTGAGGGGTCAGCTAGACACAAATCATAACAAGTGGTCATTAGTTAAAAAATAAAAGAAGGTTTTATTGGTTATATTTGAGACAAGGTTTCCCTATATTACTCAGGCTGGTACAGAATTCCTGGACTTGAATAATCTTCCTGTCTCTACCTCCCAAACGGGGACCACTACCAATGTCTAGTAGAGTAGCCAGTCTCAATTTGTGACTTGCTTTTGTTGTGTGTCAAATAATCTTTCTTCTCATGTTGGCTTGCTCTTACGGAGTAAATTGTGAACATTATTTACTTGAGCAACAGATCTCCTGAAATAAGCAAACTGCATACTAGCACATATATCTATATTTTTCATCTGTTTATTTGTAAAGGAATATATCCATACTAGAAAAACTGGATAACTTACCAGCTCTTTTACATTTGTCAATAGCAACTTTTTCACTACCTGAGTGAGCCAGCAACAGTTTTCTACTAAGTGATCTAAAAATCTTGATTTACTGAGTAGTTAACTACTATCACGCAGAAAATCATTCCCAAAAATCTTCATGGAGTAGATAAATAGATATAAGATGAGGGTCACACGGTGTGACTTGCTCCACATTTGCTCCACCTGCCAGTTCCTCACTGGAGTTGCCAGTCCTTAATGAAGTAAACAAATGGCCCAATCAGATCACGGCAAGAAATATGTGAACTAACCCAGGATTTTGCAAGTGAAGAAATTAAGGTTAAGAATTTGGGAGTTAGGGGCTGGGGATTTAGTCCAGCGGCATAAGCACCTGCCTTGCAAGCAGGCAGTCGTGAGTTCGATCCCTGGTACCGATAAAAATGAAAAAGACAAAAAAAAACAAAAAAAAGAATTTGGGAGGGTGGTTCCTATTTTCAGTACTCTAAAGGAAATGAATAGCAATGAAGACAGGTTTAGCTGTCTCTTAAACATATTTTAGGAAGATCTTTTTCAAATGGGAAGAGGAACAAGAGATGGAGGGAGGAGTAAGGGAAGGAAGGGAAAGGGATTTAAAAAAGAGGTGAAGGAAAAACATGGAAATAGAGCTTTTGCAAATGGAGAGATGAAGAAGAGTTGGTGGAAGCAGGGAGTGCTGAGAGGGAAGGAGACAAAAATTAAGATGTGTTATGTACATGTACAAACTCCTCACAACAGATGCATCACTATGTACTGCAAACAAAGTAAAAAACCTTTCAAACTATTTATATGGGGATACTTGTTTTAGTGAAGGGGATACATTAAATTAGATGGGAATCAATGTAGGAAGATTGGTGTTTAGAAATAAAATAAAAAATGTGAAATTTATGTTTAGCACGATGTTTAAGTATGCTTGGGACTTATAATTTGGGACTTTATGTCTATTCAAGAAGTAATTTAAGGACCTAAAATTTAGTCTATCTATTCTAGAGATATAAAGGCAAATGTACTATTTACTTAAATATTTTAAATTACAGGAGTCAAAATGTACTTCTGTAGTTAGGATGTAAATTTGAAACTCGATGATCATAAAACTGGAGTTTGAAGGAGGAAACCCAGCAGAATAATGAACAGCAACATATAGCATAGAAATCTGCCTTCTGATTTCCTCTGTCAAAAACTAATTCATTCAAATAGCGTAGCTCTTGTGAGTTGGACCTAAGACTGATTGTGATTGCAATACACCAGTATAAATGTTTGAGTATAAATGCTCCTTCTTTCCCTCTGCTCCCATCTGTAGAACACATTGAATTGTTTCCCCCGGAGCTATTCTGTCATTGTTTGATCATCTTTCAAAGCAGAGTCTTGAGGTGTTTAACATTCCCTTGGTATAGCTGTTTATGCCACTCAACAGCTATTCTTGCTCAAATTTGTAACTTCAAACTCAATGATGTGCACCTTTCTTAAATTAATAATTGATCCTTTTTATATTATTAGAGGGAATGCTAATGCAGACAGACACACTTTATTTCCAGTGCTTACAGCTATCAGAGAATTAAGTAATAGCATTAAAGGGAGTGTAGCAGTGAGCTGAGGTCTTCGGGTGAGTTGAATGACTCACACATGTTTGGTCCACTTTTTTCCTTAACATCTGATTTGGTTCCTATCAGATTCTAGATTGTAAGTGACTACTGATTTTGGTTTCTGGCTAGTGATATCGGCTTCATTCTATATCCTGGGAAGGTGTAGGTCAAAGAATAGACCCTAATACATGGTAAAACACCAGCATCTGTCCTAGTTAAGGCACCAACAGTTTAAAATGAATTTTATAAAGGAATTCAGAAGATTAAGGAGAAAAACAAATTAGCAAGCATCTTAGCATGATGTCACCACTTCTAGACTCAAGGGGCAAAGAGAAGGGAAAATGGAGAGAACCTAAAGAGGACACAGTAGGTGCAAATGCCTACCAGGAGCCATGGGAAGGAAGGATGAAAGTCAAGCAACCTCAGGACCACCCAGCAGCAATGGATCCAGACCAGCGCACCCTAAACTTGCTCTCCCTTTTCTCTCTGCTCTCTTGCCAGTGGCCCTGTGGCTGAATCCAACCAGAAGCCACATGGAAGGAGACCTACGGTGCAGATGTGGAGGTCAGTCTCCTGGGGCACAGATATGATGAGGAGGAAGGGTCGTCCAAGAGGCAGAGAGTGGGTCCCAGAGCAGATGATGACTATTTGAGGATTAAGGCAAAGCCATCTTTTTGTGGATCACTGTTGGTTGTATCTGACTGGAGCATATTTGATAATTATTACCTGCACTAAGGTTCTTGGGCATATAGATCTGCCGCTAACATCACACCCAGAGTTGGAGCAGTAACTTTATCATCTTGAAGAGGGAACCTGAGTTAGGACCATTCCAGTGGTTTCTTATCCATTAACAACTGGACAGGGCTCCACAGGTCTCTCTGGACCCAGGAGGGGTCAGTAGGCTTTTTTTTCTAGGGAAATACCAGGAAGGTGGAATAGATGAAGCCAGCAAAGAGGTTTCTGAGTGAAGCAAGAGTGAATGTGAGGTTCTTTTGCTTTATTTTTTGTTTTGTTTTTGCAAACGAGCTGGCATCAATTCTTTAAAGCCAATTAAATGTACCTCAGATTGAAAACGATTGCGAACAGTGGTTTTCTCATTTCAAATCAGGGGTTTAAGGTTCATTTGTGAGAAATCAATGTAACCACATTTATCCTTGGCCCAATATTGGAAAAAATATAGTTACAGTAAAATGATTTTGGGCTTTTGAAACTGTGGGTAACATGAGCGATTCTGACAGAATGGAAATTTCAGGCTAAGTGTATGAAATTGCAATTCGATAATGATGTGGATTTTTTTTGGAAGGTGCATTTAATCTAAAGACATGTAGGTAATTTATGCCCAAAAAGTGTAACTGTGTTCCAGTAAATGATGTGACTCTAAAATTTTCATGGGGTGGGCTTGATCATATTTTCACAATCCAGCACATTTTCAACATTAGTTAAATAAATGCAGAGGAAAAAATATTATGTTGATGACAGCAAACCTTGCAAAAAAACAGTCCCAGCAGAGCCTCTCCTTGTGTTTTCCTTCTTTCAAAAAAGGGGTATCAAACATTCATTTGAAATTTGTCTCCTAATCTGTTTTCCATTGATGGCAGCAACTGAAAAAGTTTTCAGCCGGAAAAAGTCAAGTTAAGTCAAACCAGTTGGGTATGCAACAAGCATACAAATTGACTATTTTTTTTTACAGTCAGACCTTAACCATATGCTTTGAATTTAGAAGTGAGATTACATACTAAAACGTTGTATTATCCTTAAATCACCCTATGTGTATGTGCATGTGTGTGCACACATGTGTGCATGACTTTTCGTTCAGCACTTGGCCTTGCAGGTGACCCATAGACGGCAGTGTGATAGCTATGAACTCCCCATGTCCCATCTATTAAGGATACCAGGGAGACTGGCTTGGTCTAAATACTCTGTGTGCTGAGGGTATGTAGAGACTCCAGTAAAGCATATGGAAGATCTCACTGGTGTCTTTAATAAATAACACTTGAATAAATATGTTCTTTTAAAATAAAAAATAGAGCTAGAATATTATATCTTGAAACTCAAGACTTTCACCACCTGCTAGTATATGCATACCAGAAAATGTTCTGCATACTAGAAATAAAAGCAAGAAAAGAATAATGGGAGATCACCCCAGACACTTCTCAAGTCAATTATGTGGTTGACTGAATTATTAAGTAGCTCTGGAAGTGCCTGGTCCTAGCCGTGGCTCCAAGCTCATTTGCACACAAAGCTGAAGTCCCTTCCTGCTTTTTTCCTCCTCTAAGAGGTGTGCACATCTGTCTGGCACATATCATGATGCTCTCCCTGAGTTGGAACTCAGAAGTTTGTAGCTGTTATTTGTGCCTCCAGGGACGTGATCGCCAGTAATGCTTCCCTATGCCCCAGACCACGTGCTTTTGTCAGATGCCAGAGGAGAGGCATGTGGGAGGTGCCCCTGAATCAGGAGACATTATTTTTTTTTTATAATCAGGCTTGAGGGGGTCATAAGGCCCCAATCTCATTTTAATTCTCCCTTGTTTTAGGGAGGCCACTTATTTCTTAGTGTTCATAGTCCTTGGGCTCCATAACATATCTTCCTTAAAATGCACTGGTGTCCTTTGCCTGATTTCTTGCTCATATTTTAAGTAAATCGATTATTTATAATCTCTAAATCTGTTGAAGCTTGGAGGCAGAAACTTGTGTTTGCAAGTTTCTGCATGTTGCATTCATGCAAGGACACTGTTTGGGTAGTGATTTATTTAGGGGCTATTGTAGAGAATCTTCTTTCCCACCCACACCTGGCAGTAAAAAATTGGTGATCAGAATAGTGTGACAGAAATCTGTGAGCATCTTGGCTTTGCTTCATTTTTGGAGGGAACTGTACAAGCTGGCACTCAGGGCTGGCCTGAGGTGCAGAAGGAACTAAACTTCAGTGCATAACCTGTGTCTTTTTAACATTTCTCCAGTCTATCACAGGCATTCTCCAGGTATTTTGGAGAAGTGGCACTGGTCAAGGGAAAACAACAGTTTTCCATTGTCAGAAAACAATGGAAAAGTAGCGACCAACAGAAAGATCACAGTCTTTTCCTAACTGGTAGATGCACAGTGAGTGTTTATCTGGCTTTGTGGGCAAAAATGAAGCAGCCTGTGAGGCCATAATGTTATAGACTTCTAAATAGAATGTTTCTGTACACAGTCCGTCTTTCGATCTTGGGAAATTTTTACTCAATGAAGTTTTCCCAGATTAATTTATTGAAGCAGAATCATTATGAAAGTCTAGGAGTGAGTGAGTCCTTTGTGTGTATCTTTAGTTGCACCATCATGGCTGCCTTGATGTCCTGAATTGATTTGACATATTTACTTTTCAAGGCCATTTTGATTCTGGAGAAGAACCAGAAGTCATATGGTGCCAAATCCCATTAATAAGGTGGAGAAAGGCATGTAATGTTTTTATGATTATTTCTTTCTAATAGATGGTATTCGGCAGTAGCATGCATCTTTCTTTTTTTTTTTTTTGGTCACAATTGTAAATACACTCATGAAAGAGGACTTCCAGATCCCCTTCAGAAAGCAGCATGAACAATGAGACAAGTGTGTTTGAAGCAAAGGAAATATCTTGAGCGGATTAAGGTCATTGTGTTTGATTGTAATACATTATTTTTAAAATGTAAAACTTCACTGAATTTCTAAATCTCCCCTTTTATAATTAGAATTTTGAGTTAAATGTTAAGCAATGAATTTTGTTAAGAACTCACAAGCATTTTGGCAGTAAGCTCTCAAGGCACAGCCTAGGGTTGCATTAGAGCTAGATTCAGAAAGTAAATTTGTTTTTAAATATTTTAATGAGAAGAGGAAGCATAGATGAGTTTACCCTCCTGTGGCTTCCATAGCAACTCATACTTCTCAGCCATTTTCATTGTAGGCCATGATATCTGAATTTTTAAATCTTAGAGCATGCACTAAAAAATTAAAATATTTATACCAATCATTGGCATAATCAGATAAGGTTGCCCACAGCTAGCAGCGATTGGTCTGGGACTCCAGCCATCCAGGGCCTAACTAGTCTCTTTGGGGTTAAGCTTACTTATTCAGTTGAACTTTTCCTGCTCTTTGCTTAAGGAGGGAGCCCGGCCATTTTGCCTTTTAGTAACTTGGTTTCTTTCTTTTGTATATATTATGTGAAACATGGACAGGTGAACAACGATCTGCACACAGACAACGTCAAGTTGCTGCACGATGATGCCATGCAGAGTGTCATTTTGCAGAGGCTTGAACTGGTTCGAGGCCACTTTGATCTCAGCGTAGACAAGATTCATTTACACTGTGATTGCTCACCTACCACATCTGATTTACCTTTTCTTGGCTGCCATGGGAAGTGAGCAATCACTGCAGCTCCCTGAGCACTGTGGAGTCTCCCTGTAGCTCAGCATTTCAAGAGATAATGAAATCATGTACTGCCTTCTTTCCCTGCAGCAAATCCCTCCTCATCCTCACCCTCTTTTCTTCTTCTTCTTCTCGTCCTCCTTCCTCTTTTTTTCTTTCTCTCTGATTCTGAAGGCTTGATGTGACTTCCAGATATTCTGCCTTAATTGGGAGACCATGATTACCAGAAATATTAATAAAGCAGAACCATGTATTCCAAACACCCAAAAACAATTAATTTGAGTTTGGAGACCCCAAACTTTGATTCTATATCAAGCTACAATGCCACTGTTCATCTGTCACTAAATTCATATCCATCCTGGATATAAGGATTCTCTTCATCCTGAATTTTCAGGATCCCAGGGTAATAAGGGCTCCCTCTCAACATGTGCTTCTACAATGCAGAAGCAGGGAATAGAGATTATGCTAAATGACAAAAGAAGTCTTTAAAATTTCTGACTAAATATAACATATTTCTTCCTTGGTTAAACAAATCACTAAGTATGATTGAGTTCTTTTGCTGGGAAAGACATCAAATTTTTGTGAATGTTGATATAATACACTGGCTAAATAACCGTACTAGCAAAAAGAAGGGATTCATTCACTGAGCAAGAATTTTAGAGCACCTGTGAGTGCCAGCACTGTTTGAGGTTTTTGCAGTATGTCAAAGAACAAAACATACAAAGCTCCTTATCCTTATGCAGATTAAATTTTAGTAAGAGCAGAAAGAAGAAAGAGAGGGAAGTGTGGGGTGTGAGAGCAGGGCCTGGAAAAAGAAGTTCCTGTAGAAGAGGTGTGGCAGTTTCAGATAAAATTGTCACTGGAGGACTCACTAAAAAAGTAAAATTTGAGCAAAGCCTCCATGTGGATCAGAGGTTTACCTAATCATGTGTCTGACCATATGGGGCCTCCTACATTTGACTTGGAGAGAGTTATGGAACCACCATAATTTTTGTTTTGAAGTGACATAATTCAGGTGACTTGTGTTTTCAGAAGGATTCGCTCTGGTGCATGATAAAGAAAAGGACAAATGTTGGCAAGTTACCCAAGATATCCAGATGAGAGAAGATGCTGGCTCAGGTCAGAGCCAGAGCACCAGAGGGAGACATCTTTCACCGAAGAACCCTTCAGTTCTCAGGCTAACCGTCAGGTCTGTGACTCCACCCTCACATTCTCACCAGCCAGGGACCAAGGCCCCTCATATTTGCTCCTATCAGCCTCATTGACTTCTCTTATTACAAGTATGATATATGTTATTATATTTGGATCCCAGACATTCGTTGTTGCCCAGAGCCTAACATTTTGTGAAGCTTTCAACTGAAAGTTATTAAGAATATCAAGTATTAAATAGCTAGGAAGACATTAAAGTTTTATTTTCAGCATTGAGTAGTTGCTTTTTAACAGCGAGCAAAGGTTTGATTTATGAGGTGTAGCTATGAATTGCACTGGAAAAGGAGACTGAACATTCCAGAGGAAACATTATAGAGAAACCCTGAGCTGTCATAATGTTTGGTCAGGGAAAGATACAGCAGTTCGGGGTCCTGCTTCCTTTAAACGACACGTGTGCTGCAAAGGGAGGGTGAGGACGCACTGGGCTCAAGTAGTCCCCCACATTCTCTGGGCACCTTTCCCATCCTAACACTTTACAGAGGAGGATTTCTTTCTTTCTTGAATTCATATAAATATTTTATTTATTTATGGGGTTTTTTTTCTGAGAGAGACAGAGAGCAGAGAGAGTGTGTCCAGCTATATAATCCAGGCTGACCTCGAAATTGCTATGTAGCCAAACCTGGCCCTGAACTCATGATCCTCCTACTTCAGCTTCCCGAGAGCTGGAATTACAGGAATATACCACCATATCCAGATATAGTCAAGGAAATTTATTGGGAATTATTTATGTCATCCTGAAAGCTACTTATTATGTGCTTGTTTCTAATTTGCAACAAATTTTACAAAAGATGATTTATGGATGTGTCAAATAATTCATGTCTGAAGTAACTTAAATACCTTCATTATTTTTTATATTGAGATTTCAAGTATGAAACAAATGTGTTGTGTTTCAGAGTGCTCAGATGCTTCAGTAGGGATTTTGTGTGAATGTGGAATTCTCATTTGACACAGCATTCTCTTATGTTTCATGAAATGGATCATGTTTACAGCATTCTCAAATGTTCTCATGAAATGATTACCAATATTTAACTTCACTTTCTTTCTTTTCTTTCTTCCTTCTTTGCACCTTGATTTCTTTGTCTTCTCTAGATGAAAATATGTACATATTCCTGGGCAATCAAACAGCTGAGTCACTTGGCCAAGAAAGTCCAGAAAATCAAATTTTAAAGAGGTCTGGGTTCCAGAAATGTGAATAAATGTATGAAATTGAGAAAGAATTGTGAAGACCCTTGTATTTGTTACACATAAATAGTCATGAGAGAGGAGTTGCCAGTTGTCATCGACTCTGTCACTATATTCCAGCATCCAATCATTGGTCTATGAATGGTGGAGCCCTGGAAATAAGAATGGAGACATGGGATGGCCAATAAATAACATGATCCTGCCCTCAGCGCAGATCTAGCCACTCGTGCTGACAAACATTCAGTAAGTCAACAACAGAGATCAGTGCAGATCCTCAACCCTACTCAGGTTTGGCATTAACCCTTAAGACTAATCAGACACAGTGGAAAGCTGTCGATCACTAGTTCACTTTGATAGGAACTGATTCGCATTTCTGATTTGAGTTTGTCCTTTTTTTGCTGACAGAATTTCAACTAATATCACTATCTGTGGTTTTAGGGTAGAATTTCAACTCGATTGGCTTTGGGATCCTCCCCCGGGGAATTGGTGGAGCACACTTCTAGGTGTATCCATCGGGTGGGTCATGGAGGTATGGCCTTTGGTCCCTTGCTCTTTCATCTCTGGCTTCTTCCTCTGCTTTGTTTCCCGGCTGCCATGAACTAAGAAGCTTTGCTCCACCGCTCTTGTACTATTATGTCTCTGCTTTACGGCCAGCTGGTCAGGGTCTGAAACAGGAGCAAATTAAAGCTCTCCTATTATTTATTGTTGAGACAAGAGTCTTCCAATACAGTTCAGGCTGGTCTTGAACTCCCTAACCTCACCTCCTTGAAGTTGTGGGTGTCAGGTGTTGTATCTTAATGATAAAAAAAAAGCTGACTAATATGCTATCTGAAAACTACAAAGTGATTGATTTATCAGTGCATCATTTTCCATAACATCAGTCAAATGCAGTGACCCACTAAACAGGAAAGGAAGTATGAGAGTGACTGGTTTCTCTGTGCAGTTCCATTACTGTACCATCCAGCTATCAGGCTGTTGGACTGGTAGAAAGGCCTGTAGGAAATGGTTAATTTAATACAAATGACAAATAATTAGATCTTTGCAAAGTCAACTCTGTAAATAAGACTTTCTAGACTTATAAGGAAATTTTATGTTGACCATTGCTGTCTAAGCATGGAAAGGGATGTTCCTGCTGAGTTACTGGAAGGGAGATGGTGTCAACCTCCATATTGTTTATACGCCCCTACCAGTCCCTATTCCACATGGTCCTACTATGGTTCTTCTCTTTCACCAGGCAAGAAGTGAACTGCATACAAGACATTGAAGCAGCCAACATGCCACATTTAGGAAGAATTAAGACTAAATAATGCTCCCAAACCTAGCTTTTGAAGGTTTCAATGCTAATCATCCAGATCCTGAATTTGTTCTAGAATATTCCTGGAAAACAATCAGAATATATTTCCAACTAGTGTGTGATCCCTTGTCACAGCTCACTTTGTCCCAGCAATCAAATTCCATTTAACTAAGGGTTTCTCTTTTCCCACAATCCATTCCTTGACCAAAGCTCTGTGTCCAGAAGATAAATTTCCTTGGAGTTTTGCCGTTTATAGCCTGGGTCACAATTGTGGGTGGGTCTCTGTGCTGTTTTTCAGTTTTTTTTAATCTTCTTTCTGCTCTGAGTTTTCATACAAAGGACAGGTAGGGAAAGGAAAGGGAAAAGAGTAATATATAGAAAGAAATGCATCAAAAAATGGTTGCATGGTTTCAATTTGATATTTCATTATGAGATTAAGATACACAGATTGAGACAGACCATTTAATTTTGTAAATATTTATTAAGAGTTACCATCACTTAGGCTTCTATTTATTAAAATGTGCTAGGGCAATGAATGTAAAAAGATGAACAAGATAATGCTTTTGTTGTCATGTGAACTTACTCTTACAATGTGCTAACCTACAAGAAAGCGAGTTAAAGATAATAGGTGCTAAGTAAAGCTTTGCATAGATACTGTAAAGTGATGAAATACAGCAATTTAACTTCCACAGTGCAACACATTTGAGAATGATGGAGGAACAGATGAGTCGACTTGTGTGGGTACTAAGACAATGGAATGAAATGATTATGCAAGGAGAACAAGGACAGACTCACCCTATGAATAAGGTGCACGTTATGGATTGAAAACTGGTAGTCAACTTAACAACAGCAGAATTAATTCAGCATGGTGTTGAGTGTAGATGTTCCACCTGAAGAAAGCTGCCAGCATAAATAGAGTGTGGAGAAGAAGAGCTAGGCATTGTGGGTTCTCCTAAGTGTTGCTGTTTAAAGCCATTGGTTCTCCTGAAGGAGCTCATCATGACTAAATTCTCTGATACGAATTTGGGCATTATCATCAGAGGAGCTTGGGACCTTGTCTGTGAGAGTGGCTATGGTTCATTTTGGGGGCGCTCTGCTTCTTACTACATTGGGCATCACTTCCTCGCTCTGGAGAGAAAGATGTGTGCTGTTTAATCTCCAGGAGAAGCTTGTCACCCTGGCTTTCTGGCATATACTCAACTGTTCTCATCATTGGAGGGGCTCAGAACCTTATTGTGGCTGAGGATGCCTGTGCTATTTTTCAGAGCACCCTGGTTCTTATTTTGAGTGTGGCTTCTTGGTTCCAACGTAGAACCCTCAACCTACTGGCACAGCTCCTTCACCCTGCTGGCATGGACTTTCTAGCTTCCACCACTGACCTTTGTGTCTTCCCAATACAGATCCATAAAACAGACTGGCATGAGTCCTTCTTGTGGGTTCTAGACCTCCAGTTGGATTCATGGAAGACACTGTCATGGGCTCTGAGTCTTCAGCTTGATTCATGTAGGACATTGCTGTGGTTCTTGGCTGAATATTCTGGGTCTTCAATGTTGTGGACAGACTCCTGAACTTTTTATGTTTTACTCTGGGTGACAATCATAAAATAATGTTATAAATTCTGTGTCCTGATTGTAATTGTTCTCCCCATACCCCCGACTACAACAATGCATGAAGGTACAAAGGAAGGAGCAGGCAGATTTACAGGCTGATGTCACAAATTACTCCATCAAAGATTGTTTTAAGTGGAGTCATAAAAGATGCATGAATCTTGCAGGTGGACAGTGAACAAAGTGATTTCCAATCTATAAAAGGCAAGTGAAGGAAAGTACCAACATATAGCAAAGAAAAGAGTAGAGGGTACAAGGCTCAGGCTGATGGAGTGGAGGTTGTGAAAAGAAGAGGCAGGGAAGGAGGCAAGGCCAAGGGCAATTACCTGGAAGGCAGAACCTTGGCTGTCACACCAAGAGGACTGGGTTTTCTCCAGGGGATGGTGGAAAACCACTGAAGAACTGAAAGGCCAATAATAACATGATTGTACTTGACTTTAAGAGACTCGTTCTGATAGCAAAGTAGAAGATGGATGGAACATAAGGTTATAACTGTATTTCAGATTTAAGGATCCCTTTGGGGAGCCATTTAAAATCAATGGACCACACAAATATGGCATTTGTTGGTCACCTACATGTTTCAGATTTTCACTGGCTATTCCTTCACCTAATTCTGACAATAAATATTAATATTATGGGTTGGGTTGTGTCCCACCAAAATTCATATGTGGAAATACTAATTCCTAGTACCGCTAAATGTGGATTTATTTGAAAATAGAGTCACTATAGATATAATTGGTTAAGAGGAGGTCATGCTGGCACAGAGTAGACTACTAACCCAAAATCACCAGTGTTCTTATAAAGAGAGAAAACAGACACAAATATGCACACAGAGAGATCACCATGTGATAATGAAGACAGGGTGACATGGCAGAAGGCAAGAACAGTCAAAGATGGCCACCAAACCACCAGTAGTGAAGACAGAAGCATGAAATAGATCATTTCTCAGAGTTCTCAGAAGGAACCAGCCAGGCTGCCACCTTGATCTTGCATTTCAAACTCTCCAAACAGCAAGACAATACATTTCTGTTGTAGCAGAAATAAAACGCCAGATGACAGGGTTTTATTTCTTTATGGCAGCACTAGCAAAACTAGTACAACTACTTCGTCTACCTTATAAAACAAGAAAATCAAAGTTCAGGCAGACTAAGTAATGTGCTTTTCAGAGAATAAGCCGAGTCAGAATTTGAACCCACAGCTGTTCTATCCATTGCACTCACATCATTAAGTCTTCAGTGAAGCACCACGGATAACACTGTACCCCGCAGGGAAGTCCTCGCTTCATGGAGTGTTGCCCCCAGAGCCAGCTGAGAACTCTGGGCTCTGAACTCTGGTTCCCTATGGAGCAGCTGCAGTGTAATTGGAATTTTTTTCTCTCTAATTTAAAAAATAAGTTCAGGTTTCTCAGGGGGATGTTTGTGACATGAGGTTATTTTCTAGCCAGAAGAGTAAAGCAAATCTCTTATTTTGATTTCTATGTTTGCATCAGAATCCATATGAGCTGTAAAAATGAGCAGATGCAACAGCAGAAGTCAAACTGGCTTCTAAAGCTCTCATCCAATCTTGTAGGAGATGCTCTTTCAAGTTTCAGATTGAGAAATGACCAGAAATGCCAGCAGCCTTTTACTCAGATGAGAGGTTACAAATTGAAAATCATAGATTTTACAGATGAGTCTTTCTTGGTACTTAATGTGCTTTCTGAGAGTATTTTTAGGTATCTGACAATTTTTAAGAGTCCTGTTTTCTGTATCCTGACAGATACAATTTTATGTATCTGACAATTTAAGAATCTTGTTTTCAAGGTGAGTTGTACACTTTACTGTAGCCCTCACCAGCCCCCTTAGTGTTGGTCATAGCCTTGTAGCACTCACAGAAGATCTACAGACATTTGAGTTTATGACCCCAGTCTAGGTCTTTCTTTAATACTTTCTTGTGATGATTTGAGCTTCCAACTTACAGAGTTGTAGTGCTTAATATTTGAATGGTCCAAATATAAAAGCCTTCTCATCTTTCTCTTTTTGAAAAACAAGAAGGAAGCCATGGCTTCAGTCTACATTAGATCTATATTTAATTCAAATGTCTTATTGATATGGGAAACTAAGAAGCTATCTGGAGACAGAAATAGTTTTGTGATTTACATGGGGTACAAGTTTTACCTAGTACAAGGTTTTTGATATTTGTCTTTGGAGCGCATCCATCTCTGCCTAAGCATGCTATACGCCACTCAAAATGAAGATTGTAGATGTGTAGTCTTTAATTCAGTACTCATTTTCCTGTCTTTAGGGCATTTGAGCTATCACTTAGCTGTGATGCCAAGAAACATCAACTTTGAAGATTCCAGAGGTTTCCTTTTTATTTATTAATTTATTTATTTTTCTGTCTCTCTGCAAACATCTCTTTTCTTTTTGCATATTTAAAAAGTAAACCTTAAGTTCACACACCAAGCCTCCTTGAGAAAGAGCCGTGCTTAGGTAATTTTTTTTCAAATAATATGATTTGCTTTAAGAAGCCACCAGAGCTGGTCAGCAGTCTCTCCTTATTTGAGGTAGGAGGGAGGGAGATAAAGTACATAGATGATAGATGAGATCTTGTGGGGATAGCGGAAAATATTTCTGATTTCAATTTATTAGGTTTATATTGACAAAGGAACCATCAGTTCTTAAAAGCTTACTTCATTCACATATTTCTTGGCCAACAGAAAGTTTCACTGTGGCCAAGTAAAAATGCTTCCTTTATTTCTCTCACTTCTGCAGACAT